AGAATCGCATGAACCCGGGAGGTGGAGGTTGCAGTGAGCTGAGATCTTGCCACTGCACTCCAGCTTGGCCACAGAGGGAGACTCCATCTCAAAAAAAAAAAAAGGCTTGGATTTAGGTTTCTGATATAGAATCTGTGGGCTCCCACAGGTATTTAAAAGTTGACCCTTGTGTTATTTTAAATGTTTTAAAAACAGAAACTACATTTATACAGGATAATATGACTGGGCTGACAAAAAAAAACCAATAGGTCTCTTTTGTTTGGGGCTGCAGTGACGTCCACTTTAGGTCTCCTGCTCGTCCCAACAGGCAGTCCTCTGTGTGTCTTTGATGAATAAAAAATGTGAAAACAGATTAATTATTACTTAATACTTGCAGTATTTTTGGAAGGCGGACGCTTTGGGAACAGAACCAGTGGCACTGCCGATCTCCAAGCTCCCTTCCAGCTCTAACACCTCTACATGTGAAGCTATTGGCAGGACCTGGCCTGATTTAAAAACCCTCCCAATTGCAGGCCTCATGGGGTCTAGCTCTTATTTGCAAGGCTGGTTCATCCTATTAGCAGAATCAGCAGAGGTGGTGACTTTCTAACCCCCTTCCCCTCTCCCCATGACAAACCCTCCCTGTTGTGAGCCTCTTTCCCATCGAATTTCTCACCATGTGAGCAGTGGAGGAGTTCCCCACTGTTGACTGCCTCCTGCCATTGGTAATTATCTCCCCACCATCCTACGCTTGTAAATATTACTTAGTATTCCCAGCGCACTGGGACATGCTGGTGTCTCCAACTAATCAGACTTTGGCTTGACTGAGATGCTGTCCCCTGCTGACCTGGGGGCCGAAAATGCAGAGTGAATGCCACGGTCAAGGCCAGCACTGAGTCACGTCCGCCAGATTGAAAGCGGAACCATACTGCTTTCATGGGGAGGCTTACCTGAGGTCCCCTGTAATCCTGGGAGCCCGTGTGGTCCTGCAGCTCTGCAGACACTGCTTTTTTTTTCAGTCCCCCGCTGACTGTAGATGGCACTTCCTCACCTCAAATTCACTGGATCTGTCCTGGACAGGCTTTGTTTGTTTCTGTTAGAGCCTTCTAGACCCTTCTATCTCCAGAGCATCCAAGGTCTCTGGTACTGGCTTGTTCTCCCCCAACCCTGGGCTCCTGGACAGGCCTCCCTGCTGAGAGGTGGGCTGAGCGAGAAATAATGTCAGCTGCTCACTGCTGGGGGGCAGGGTGCACAGGCATTCATCTGGCACTCAGCTCCCCATGCCCCCTGCGCCACCGCCGCCCCACCCACCCCCAGCCTGCCAGGCCTACTATCACGTGTCCTGGATCTGTGTCAGCTCCCTCGATTTCTCTGGAAAACAGGAATCCTGAGCATTGTCAAGCTGACAGCTGCTTGGTGGGAGGAGGCAAAAAATATGGGCATCTCAGTTGCATTGTCCAATGTCAGGTGGCCCGCCCGAAAGAAACTCAACAGGTCCCTCTTCCTTGGATCTTTGTCTTGCTGCTTCTCTCTCCTGATTTCTCCCTCTTCCCTCTGTCCACTTCCAAAAATGTGCACCTGGCTCAGGTCTGGCCTCTCACTTCTAAGGGACAACAGATGGAGTTACATCTTCAGGAGAGCCCGCCTGCAGTGAGGAGCGCTGGAGAAAAATGTAGGACCTTCACCCAGGAACAGAGAGGTGGGAGGGCTGGCCTAAGGAGGAGGCCTCCACATACTTGAGGGTGTAGAGTGGGGAGCCCGGGAGAAGCTACAGGGCAGGTGAGGTCAGCTCCATGCCTGTGGCACTCAGGGACCACGCCCCTGCCCAGTGAGCTAACATCCTCCTGGGGGAGCCACACAGTAAGCATGCTAAGGAGATGGCAGAGTGGGCCCATCCTGAGAAGTGCCCGTGGGAAACAAAATAGAGCAGGGGAAGGGAAACGGAGAGTCCTGGCGGGGTGAGGGGACATGCTGTATTTTTTTTTTTTTTTTTTTTTTTGAGACGGAGTCTCGCTCTGTCGCCCAGGCTGGAGTGCAGTGGCCGGATCTCAGCTCACTGCAAGCTCCACCTCCCAGGTTTACACCATTCTCCTGCCTCAGCCTCCCAAGTAGCTGGGACTACACGCGCCCGCCACCACGCCCAGCTAGTTTTTTGTGGTTTTTTTAGTAGAGACGGGGTTTCACCCTGTTAGCCAGGATGGTCTCGATCTCCTGACCTTGTAATCCACTCGTCTTGGCCTCCCAAAGTTCTGGGATTACAGGCCTGAGCTACCACGCCCGGGTTTTTTTTTTTTTTTTTTTTGAGATGAAGTCTTGCTCTGTCACCCAGGCTGGAGTGCAGTGGCTCTGCTGAGAGGCAGTGGGTGGGTCAGGGCCCCTGCTAGACTGTGGTCACACCACCAGTGCCTGTGTGGATGTTCCTGCTGCTGGTGGGCAATGAGGAGAGTCCCACTTAACTGTTCCGGTGTCCATACGACTAAAAGGGAATTGAGTGCCAGCCGCCATGGCTCACACCTGTAATCCCAGCACTTTGGGAGGTTAAGGCGGGCAGCTTGCTTGAGCTCAGGGGTTCAAGACCAGCCTGGGCAACATGGCGAAACACCATCTCTACAAAAAATCGTAAAATTAGCCAGGCATGGTGGCACACACCTGTAGTCCCAGCTACTCAGGAGGCTAAGGCAGGAGAATTGTTTGAGCCCAGGAGGTTGAGGCTGTGTGAACTATGATCACACCACTGCTCTCCAGCCTGGGTGAAAAAGCAAGACCCTGTCTCAAAACCCCAAAAAACAGGAGTTGAGGGCATGTGAATTCTCTATTGGTACTAATGGTTCTTGGTTGGAATCATTCATACACCCACTTCTGCGGCGGAAGTGCCTGGATGTAGAGGCGATTACTAAGAGCCGGTGTGTGTTGGGGGCTTCCCTCCTGGCTGCCGGGCACTGTGTCAGGCCCTTGCCTTCCTCAGTCTGGAGCACCAGCTCTCCAGCGGAGGCCTCATCCTTCCACCTTGTCCAGACAAGGAAGAAGGAAGGCAAGGCCCTGCAAGGTGAAGGGACTTCCTGGAAAGCAGAGGCTGCTGAGCCCGGCTGGTGTTGGAGCCCAAGCCTGTGAGTCCCACCCTGCCCCTACCACCATGCAGCGCTCCTCAACAAAGACGGTTACTTAATCCAAGGTCATCATCAGTGGATCCGAGGCTGCAGCCTGATGACTGGCAGTATCAGTCACATGGGTGGCAGGCAGGCCCCACTGGCCTCTGGGGTCATGAGAGCTTGCTGAGTTTTCCACCCAGACCCTTTGTGTCTGTGTCTGGGCCTCTGGGGACACCGGACTGACCTGGCTCAGAGCAAGGTGGTAACTGCGGGTGGGGTTGCTTCTGATCTGAAAGGAGCCTGTCTCTGCCCTCCTTGGGAACAACGAGGGCCAGTGAGGGGCCACTCAGGGTGGAATGCCTGAGCAAAGGCCGCCCTCCTCTCACCCATCCCTGTCCTACCAGAGCTGCTGTTGAGTTTTGCAAAAGGCATTTGCTTTAGAAAGAGATGCTACAGGCCGGGCGCGGTGGCTGAAGCCTGTAATCCCAGCACTTTGGGAGGCCGAGACGGGCACAAGGTCAGGAGATCGAGACCATCCTGGCTAACACGGTGAAACCCCGTCTCTACTAAAAAATACAAAAAACTAGCCGGGCAAGGTGGCGGGCACCTATAGTCCCAGCTACTCGGGAGGCTGAGGCAGGAGAATGGCATAAACCTGGGAGGCGGAGCTTGCAGTGAGCTGAGATCCGGCCACTGCACTCCAGCCTGGGCGACAGAGAGAGACTCCGTCTCAAAAAAAAAAAAAAAAAGAGATGCTACATACAAGTATGGTGGCTTATACGTGTAATCCCAGCACTTTGGGAGGCCAAGGTGGAAGGATCACTTGAGCCCAGGAGTTTGAGACCAGCCTGGGCAACATGGTGAGACCCTTTCTCTAGAAAACAAAAATTTTTTTTTAAATTAAAAAACAAAACAAAAAAAGATGCTGCAAAAGCGAAGCCCCTGAGGGGCTGACTTAACGGCTGGCCGCCCTCTGGATAGGCCTTGCCTCAGCTGCCCACCCTGTGGGTCAGTAAGCGAGACACCGTCACTCCGAGTACAGCAGCCTGAAAGCAGGAGTGGGCCAGGGCTAGTTAGAGGAGCTCTCTGTGGTCCGCTTGAGTGAGGAAGACGACACCATTGTTCATTTCCCTTTTGGAAAGGGTCTATCTATGTCCTTTGTCCCTTCTTCTCTTAGTGTCCTCACGGGTTCTTGACACTGTATTTATCGTGTCGCAAATACATTAGTATGATAAATATTTCCCCCAGTTTGCCATTTGCTTTTTTAATGTTTTGATTTTGAAATGTATGCTTTATTTTTTATGTTACATATGTCGAGCTTTTTCCTTTTGATTTTTTCCCATTGCTTTAATGCTTAAAAATCCATTCTTATCTTGAGATGAAATGTAATTAATCTGTATTGTGTTTCAGTTTTTCCTAGTGTTATTCTTTGTTTATTTTGTATTTTACCATAGTCAATATCATGTTTTCTCAGCCCCACCTCCTCCAGCCCCACCTCCTCCAGCCCCACTGCCACCTTTCATGCCTCACATCTGTTTTCGATTTTTCCTCTCCTCTTAAGTCCTAGCACGCTGCCTCACGCCTCCATCCTTGTCCCCTCCTCGGACACCAAGGGCCTCTCACAAACCCTCCTGACCCCTCCCGGCATTTGCAGTCGGAAGAACCACACACGTGGCTGGCTCCGGGTGTCCGAGTCTGGTGGAGCCGAGTGTTTTTCTTGTTGCTTCTCAGGGACTAGAATCGTCCGCTTAAGATTCTGCATGTCCATACTTGGAAAGTCATTTACATAAATAGGTCATTGATTGGAAGACTTCCCCCTCCTCTGTCCTTGAACTAAAGGCCCCTCGAATAGCCGGCAGTTGCTGTTGTTTTAGATGTCATAGCCCATTTCTGTTCACCTCTCTTCTAATGTCAGGTCTCCTTTGCTTTCAGGACGATGTTTTCTGCTCCCTGTCATCTTTGGTGGGAGGGCCAATCATAGTACCTCACCCTGTCCTTCCACTCACCGGGACAGACACACAACACTAGCTAGGCCAACTGGCATCTTCCCTGGGATGCTTCTTCAAGAAGGCGCAAAAGGACCCCACTTGCTTTTAGAGCTGTGGCTCTAGAAGACTCTCAGTTAGACCTACTGGGGTCATCATCCCCATCACAGAAAGTCCTTGTACCTGAAGTGAGGGTGAGCCCAACACAGAAGGAAGCTGAGCTGAGAGACAAGAGCAAGAGAAGCCAAGAAAAATATCTGGAGCACCTGGATCCAGCCTCACCTGCATCCCACAATCCTTGGGCTTCCTCCTACATGAGCCAATACAGTACCTTTTAATTTGAGCCCGCTTTATGACAGGTTTTTGCTAAAGAATCCTGATTCACTCCTGCATTGTGATGCTTTGGACTTCATTGCCTGCCCGCCTGTAAAACTCCTAAGATGTCAAAGCTGAAAGGGGCTTTAGAGACCACAGTCTCATCCTACAGTTGGTGAAACGAGGGAAAGAACTTGTCCAAGGTCACGTGGTGCATCGTTTCCTGCCCAGCAGCAAGGAAAAGAGCTTGAACTCACTGCCCAGCAGCCCGGACGGCGCTGTGGCCTCTGCGATGGCATTGCAGTGCTTAGTGGCTATTGATCTGTTGTTTTGGATGTGTTACCCAGACAGGACTGCCACTGCCACACGAGCGCATGTGCAGCCCAGGGAGAGCTCTAGGGCGGGGCCAGAGCGGGGGTGGGGAGGGCATCGTTGCTGCTGCTTCAGCCCCTGTCGGGAGAGAATGAGAAAATGGTGGTGAACAAGACCTTGCTGATACTCACTGTGGGCCATGTGCCATGTTAAATGGGCACAGTAGCTTTACATTCGTTCTTCTCAGCCTTGCAGCGTCCCTATGAAGTAGGTGCTATGGGAATCCCTGTTTTGTCAGTGGGAAAACAGGAATTTCCTAGTGGTCACACTGCGATTGAGCCACACGCTTGGACTAACCGGGGTCAGCCTGACTCCAGAGCCTGACTCTTGCACCAAGGAGGGGCAAAATCAGGCAGGCCACATGGATGAGTAGAGGCCCACGTGAGGACTGTGGGAGAGCGTGCCTCGGCTCCCCAGCTCTGGCCCAGGGCAGCCAATTCAAGGCAGACTTGTCAGAGCTTCCAGTTTTTCAAGAGAAGCCGGAAATCTGGACTTTTATGTGAAATGTCTCTATTTTTAAATGTTGGCAAAGAAATTCAGATTTAAAAAAAAAGCACACACACACACTGTGCAAGGCAACCCAAACCACATTTGCAAGCCAGTGGATTGCAGCTTTTCGACTTTACTATATTCTTTCTGTGGCTGCAGGAAGCTGTTCTAACCCACAGGACTCTGTCCGTCACCTGGCAGGAGAGCGGACCTACCTGGATGTGGTTAGGATGCCACCCTGCCCTGCTTACACTCACTCATTTCTGAGTGTGTGTCAGAGGCCAGCCAGTGCCAGAAGCAGGGGTTGGGCGGGGCGGGTGGTGGGGCACGTGTGCTTGCCGGGGAGGGCCAGGAGCACAGAAGAAGCCTCCTTATTCAATGTTACAGGTGAGGAAATTGAGACCAAGTGAGGCCATATAAACAGCTGGGTCCCCGGCGACACATGGAAAGAGCTGCTGGGACCGGGTCCAAGGTCTTCCCGAACTGTAAGTATGGTCCTCTGAGCACACATTACCCTGCTGTTGGCCTTTTGGCTGGTAGAGGAGACACCTGGATTCTGGGATGTGGCAGAGCCCAGCCTTGCCCATGATAAGGATAATAAGGAAGTCACTGAAACTCTGTGAGCCCCAGTTTCTCCATCTGTAAAATGGGCATGTCCTCTGTAAAACAGAAGCATTGGCTCTACCCCCACGCCCATGTAAAACTATGGCCCCCAGCCCCAGAGGGGTAGAGCGTGGCAGACTCCTCACCTCCAGGAGCAGGGCACTGAGCCAAAGATACCTGCAGCCCCTCTGCGGTGCCTCTGGGGCTGGGACTGTTCTGGGCACGCGCTGAGTTATGGTGACACATCCAGAGCTGAGTCTGTCTCTCCCGCCCGCCCAGTCCTCTGGGAAAGGAGTGGGGGTCAGGAAGGTGAGGGGGGCTTCATTTCCAGGTCACCATCCTCAGGCCTGGGCCTGACACAGAGGAGAATGAGCGGGAGGGTGGATGAACAGCATCCTAACAGTAGTTCTCGTCCACACCCTGCACCCATGTGCCAAGCTCTTAGTTTACGCCATGCTTCATCCCAGCGGAGTCTTGTGCTGTGGGGGAAGCTGCAGCCTTGCCCTCACCATGCATGCACCCCTGCTTTTCAGGAGGTGGCTCCCAACTCTCCCCAGGGCTCAGAGTTGTCCCCGAGACCCTGACCCAGGCCCAGCCAGGGCAGCCATCCCCAGATTTCCTTGGCATACTGGGTGTCAGCTGCCTCCCCCCATCCTTGGCCTGGTGGGACCTGGGGGCTCTCAGCTACCCAGGCAGGAGATCAGCCCCCAGCAGAACGGCCCTACCTCAGCCTCTCTGTGTCTTTGAGGGTTCTCAGCGCTTCACGTGGCCTCAGAAACTACTTCTCAGCCTGAGGGTCCCCACAAGGCTTTGGACTGATGCCCCCTGCCTCAGCTTGACTGATCGAGGTTGAGCCTCATGGCCCCCAGAGGGCAGGGCTGAGACCCATAGGGTGAAGCCACAGGAGGCAGATGGAAAACCTTAGTGTGAGGTACAACTTACCATCAAAGCTGCCTACAATGGAATGGGCTCTTTTTAAGAGGTAAGTTTTCTGTTCCCAGAGATTTGAAAGTAAAACTTGCAGCCGATGGGGCTAACACACATCTGCTAGGACAGTAGCCTCACTAAATGACTGAGGTTCCCTTCCAGTTCTTAGACCACGAATCTCCTTTCTAGGGTTTTCCTCCCCAGTCCACCCCCTAAGACAGACACAGGCCTTCGCAGGCCTGATTCAGGGTGGAGGAAGGGGAGTCCCAGGTTGAAGGCGAGTTGTTTGCAACCCACAACTGGGCTCAGGAGCAGGGACGCTGCAACCCAGCTGCTTTTCTGCAGGGCCTTCACCTGTCCTGCAAGGACCAAGGCCAAGGCTGCTATGAGCCCCCCATCTGACCCAAGAGGTTCCCACAATGGTCCTGGGTGGTGGGTCCGGCCATTGGGTAGGTGTGGGAGCTGGGGGTTGCAGGTTCAACTTGGCGAAATGTCAGTACACCCACAGGGTCAGGCAGCTTTTCAGGGGCCCAAGGCCATGGAGCTCCAAAGGAGGGCAGCAGGGAGCACGCAGAGAACTGTCCCCACCCAGCTCCCCTCCCACAGGCTCCACGGATCACACTCTGTCTCTCTCGCACGCTCCAGGAGAGACACGGCAGCACACACACAGGCAGACACAACCAGCACCCACATCTGAGCGCTCACACACATCAGACGCGTGCGCGTCGTGCAGAGACGCCCACATGGAGACACAGATACACACCCTCCCGGAGTCACACAGACGACACCCACGTGCACGCGGGCACAAACACAGGCCCTGCCTACTTCCGAACCAACTCCACCTCCAGCATGGCCACCCTGGCTGGGGAAGGTAGGCCGGCCGGGTGGGTGCCCTGGATCAGCCTCCTTGCCCTGGGAGTCCTGATCATCTGGAAGCCATGGCCTGCCCTGCCCATTGGAGGTCTGCAGGGCCAGGGGCTGCCTGGAGGCAACACAGTAGTTCAGCAGCGCCCTGGGGTCAGCTGATCTGGGTCAGGTCTCAGCTTTCCCACCTTCTGGCTCTGTGACCTGGGCAAGTCACTGGACCTCGCTGAGCTTCAGCTTCCTCATCTGGAAAATGGGTATAACATAGTGCCAACCCTTGAGTCCTGTGATCTCTGTAGCCCCCAGGCCTGGAATATCCTAGATGTTCAGTAAACAGAGACTGTTGCTGTCGCTCCAGGGCGAGGGCTCCATTGGCAAATGGCCACTCACCCATTGCAGACTGGCATTTGGTGAGTGCACCATATTGGTGAGCTATTATTTTCATGTCTACTTCGGGGGGCTACCTCGGGCCTGAACTTCACTTGTGGGGACTCAGGATGTAGGCCTCCATGTCCAGACTGGCAAAGAGAACCCCATTCCTCTGGCAAAGACAGGGCTGAGCTAGGTAGTCTTAAACAATAAGCAGCCACTCAGCTAGAACTTTGACTGGAATATTCACAGCGTAATGCCATAGCATTCCAGAACCACAGCTGCAAAAACCAGAGGCTCTTGCCAGTGTGTTTTAGACTCTCAAAGATCTTGAAGCACAAATCTCAGAATGTCAGAGCTGTACAGAGGCCTTGGAGACATCTAGTTCAGCTGTCTTGTTCCTAAGATGGAATCCCAGAGTCCATTCCAGACCAGTGTGACAGAAATTGGAAACTGAGGCCCAGAGAGGGTGAGCGACTGAGCAAAGTTGCACAGTGAGTTAGTGGAAGTGTCGAGACCAGACCCCTGGTCCCGGCTTTGTAGCAAGTTTAGATTCAGCCCCTCTATGGAGACCCGGAGGAAGGAAGGCAGAAGAAGAAACATTTGGGCCAAAGTGAGGATTTTCTAGAGAACTGTTTTTGAAAAATCAAACCAAAAAGAAAAATGGGAAAAAGGTGCTGGCTTCCCCTTATTTTCTGCCTGTCTTCCTCTGGGCACTCGCTCTCTGCAGCTCTCAGCCATTCCAGCTCTGCTCACAAGCTGCTTCCAGCCGCCCACGGGCTTCCTAAAATGGTCTCTGCAAGCTAATTCCAGAGGGTGAATGGCAGAGAGCAGGCCTGCAGGGAGTGGGGGGGGAGGGGGAGTGCACTTCCTTAGCCGACGCAGGTGCAGACAGACTCCACATCAGTGTTGCACCGGCTGTCCCCAGCTCCAACCCCCTCCCCAGGTGCTTCCATGGCCCCCAGCTGCCGGGACCAGGGGGCCCGGCTTTCACCTCTCACTGCCTGACCTCTTGGAATAAGTTATTTTTCCTTCTTAAATAATTAATTTTTAAAATTTTGTAATAATACGTATTTATCATCGAATAATCAGGAAAGTATAAAGAAGAAAATTAAGATCACCTGTAATCAGCTCCTCTAAATGAAACAACCATTAGCAATTAAGCATATATCCTTCCAGTCTTAGGACTCAGCACATATTACAGAGGGGCTGATTCAGTACATAATGTTCTAAATCCTGTTCTTTCCTTCCAATCATATATTCACAAGCATCTTTCTAGTCAACAGTTGCACTTCCACAGCATGATTTTTAGTGGCTGCATGGCACCTTGCATGTGACTACACCACGCTTTACTCAGCCAATCCCCAATGCCCAGCGTTTTAGCTTGTGTCCATTTCTCCCCTGTGAGAAACAGTACATGGTTTATTCTTGTAGTTACATCTTTGTAATCAACCTAGTTATTTCCGTAGGACAACTTCCTGGAATTGGAATTACTGGCCAAAGGGTTTATACTTTTTTAAAAAGATAAAATGCAAAATTATAATACTGTCCTGTCTTCCTATAATGAATGTGTAATAATTAGGTAATAAATAAAAATTAGAAAATATAGATAAGGAAAAATACGAGGAAAAAAATCATAACTTTCCCCAAATCTGACTACCAAGATATGGTCAAGAATGCTGCTGGAAAGCATCTAGACTTTTTTGTATGTGTGTGTGTACACATATAATGGGATTATACTATACATGCTGTTTTGTAAAACTGATCATTTGTTCATGTCGATACATAAATTTACATTCACAGTATCACTTTTTTTTTTTTTTTTTTAGAGACAGGGTCTCGCTGTGTCACCCAGACTGAAGTGCAGTGATTTAATCATAGCTTGCTGCAGCCTTGAACTCCTGGGCTCACACGATCCTCCCACCTCAGCCTCCAGAGTAGCTGGGACTACAGGAACACACCATCACACCTGGCTAATTAACAACAACAACAACAAAACTGTAGAGATGGAGTCTTTCTATATTGCCCAGGTTGGTCGTGAACTCCTAGCCTCAAGCAATCTCCCACTTTGGCCTCCTAAAATGTTGGCATTATAGGCGTGAGTCGCCACACCCGGCCCACGGCATCACTTTTATCTGCCACAGCGTATTTCATTCTGTGTTTATACCTTGGTATCACCACTGTCCTGTTTTGGGGAAGTAGGTTTCTGATTTTGCTCCAGTATAAATAGCTCTGTAATGAACATGCTTGGAAAGCAGCTTTGCTTCTTGTCCATATGCGTTCGTAGGCTCTGTAGTAGTGGAATTGCTGGGTCAAGGGTTTTTGTTGTTGTTCGTTTGTTTGTTTTTTGTGTTTGTTTTTGCTGTTAATATCACATCGTTTCTGACCGGAAGTCTAAACAGCAAACCAGCACAGAGGCTCCACTGAGTTGCACGGACGTCTACAGGAAGGGCCCGGAATCTGTAGAACGAGGCAGGAGCTTGTGCTGCATTTGCTGCTCTCCAGGCTGATTGCTTAGAGAAAGGCCTTGGCCTTGAATGGGGCCTTTGCCCAGGAAGGCTCCTCTGTGCCCAGGAAGCCGGGATCAAAACTAGCCCCCCCCACCGGAAGCCATGAGCACACAAGCCAGTTCCTGCTGGCTCTCCCCCGTCCACTTCCTGCAAACCCAATACCTCACGTGCCCTCTTCCTGTCTCCAGATCCCACTCACCTGAGACCATGCACAGTGGGAGAATGAATGTGAGGTGTTACAAAGTCCTCATTGTTCTGAGGAGGAGAGAGATGCAGCCAGGGTAGGCGGCCTCGAGACTGGGCAGGTGTGAGCCCGGGCGGAGAGTCTCAGAGGCGCATGGAGGGTCCGCCTGGAGAGGACAGAATGCAGGGCCAACCCACAGGACGAGACCCAGAGCAGGAAGGGCCTGGAGCCTGCAGAGGGCAACAAGGGGAACAGGCCCGGGGTAGGACAGGGAGGGCCTGCCCAGAGCTTCCGAGGGCACTGACGGCCAGGCCGGCCCGGACACCGTCTCGTCTCTCTCCATCACTGTGCTGCTCTGCTCTCTGGGATCTCAGTTAATTCAGAGTTGGGAAAGGAAAGATCCATCTTAGGAAAAGGTGAGCTGAGAACTAACCAGAAAGACAGGGAGGGAGCGGGCGAGGAAGGGAGAGAGGGAGATAGGAAGAAACAAAGAAGGGAGGAGAGGCCACCACCCTAAAGAGGAAGCCACGCCATCCAGGCCTCCTGACTCCAGCACAGGTCTAAGTGAAGACCTTCCCCTGTGGTCAGCTCAGCAGTGGCTGCAAACCAGGCGTGGTGGCTCAGGTCTGTAATCCCAGCGCTTTGGGAGGCCAAGGCAAGCAGATTGCCTGAGGCCAGGAGTTTGAGACCAGCTTAGGCAACACAGTGAGACCCTGTCTCTACAAAAATATTTTTAAAAATTAGCCGGGTGTAGTGGTGCATGCCTGTAGTTCCAGGTACTCGGGAGACTGAAGTGGGAGGATCGCTTGACCCTGGAGTTAAAGGTTGCAATGAGCCATGATCACGCCACTGCACTCCAGCCTGCGTGACAGAGACCAAGTCTCAAAAATTAAAATAACAATAATAGTAAGAGACTGCAACAGACCTTCAAGCTGGGAGAGCAGGTTTTCAGGCAGCTCAGGACCACAATCCCGGTTCTAAAAAGTGCGTGCAGGCATGTCCGACAATGAGGCAGCCATGCAGGTCTGGGCGCCAGCTCAGAGAGGAGGGTCCCGCATTAGGCTCAGCCATTTCGGCTTCTTTCCACTCTTGCCCTGCATTGAATTCCCGTGTTTATTAATCCCCTCCAGAGCACAAGTGAACCCATCTTGTGAGATGAAGGAAAGCGTCAGGGCTGCCCGTTGCAAACCCAGTGTGGCGCAGTGCCCAGGCCGTGTGCAGTATACAGTATAGTATACTATATGTACAGTATAGTATACTCTATGTGCAGTATAGTATACAGGCCGTGTGCCTCGATACTATGGGCAGCTGCCGAGGAGACATCTCTTGGAGCACAGTTGCTCTGCTCATCACCCCCCAACTTCCCTTTTTGCCACTTGATTCAGGTGGGGTTCACCTCTCCGTGGCCTCTCCTCTCTTTTCTTCCCCACCTCTGCACTCTGGGCCTGCTGGGAACGGAGGAGAGATGGGTGGGCCGTGGTGTGCTTCGCTCACAAACATCCACCCAGCGCCCAGGTGTGATTGGGGGAGGCTGGGTGGCCAATGACCTGTGAGCCTGTAGGCCACCCCCTTTCCCCCAGGGGACAGCTTCTGGGAGCCTGAGGTTGGGGGTCTTGGAGAAAGAACAGAAGCACACCCTTGGCTCCTTCAGGTTGGGGGTGGGTGGAGTGGAGAATGGGGCTCTTGCCTGAACGGTCAAATCATAAAACTGTGAAGAGCTGGCCAGGCACGGTGGCTCATGCCTGTAATCCCAGCACTGTGGGAGGCTGAGATGGGCGGATCACCTGAGATCAGGAGTTCGAGACCAGCCTGGCCAACATGGCAAAACTCCATCTCTACAAAAAATACAAAAATTAGCCAGGCGTGGTGGCACACTCCTGTAATCCCAGCTCCTCAGGAGACTGAGGTAGGAGAATCACTTGAACCCGGGGGGCAGAGGTTGCAGTGAGCCGAGATTGTGCCACTGCACTCCAGTCTGGGAGACAGAGCAAGATTCCATCTCAAACAAACAAACAAACAAAAAAAACCACAAAATACTGTGATGAGCTGACATTTAAGCGCGCTCAGTACGTGCCTGGAACTGTCGAGTTAGTACCTTGCTTAGGTCATAGGAGGTGGGTACTGCCATCATCCCCACTTTTTAGATGGAGGAAACAAGGTGCAGAGGGTGAGTAACTGGCCCAAGATCTCACAACCAGCAGGTGGCAGAGCTGGATTTGGAGCCTGTGATTGTCCCACCCAGCCAAAGTCTAATCAGGCTTTCTGTCCTCCAAGCTCTGCGAAGCCATCCTTGGCTTCCCAGAACCTATCTTTCCCTGGTCCGAGCTCCCAACCCACCCCCTGTCTGGGCTCGAGAGAGGGAGTCTGGAAGCCACCCGGTCTCCATCCAGTAAGAACACGCTCCTGCCTGCTGTAGCCCCGGTGCCTACACGAGTGCCTGCAATATAGTAGCTGCTCAATAAAGATTTGCTGACCAAGGGCCAGGGTCAGTGGCATGTGCCTGTAATCCCAGCTACACAGGAGGCTGAGGCAGGAGGATCACTTGAGCCCGGAAGTTTGAGACCATACATTGACACCCCATCTCAAAGGGGAAAAAAAAAAAAAAGTTTGCTGAGCAAGCTCTGCCCTGTGTAGCTGGTGCTGGGACTCACAGTGGGCCTGCAACAGTCAGGAGAGAGGCCTGGAGCCAGGCTGCCCTGTCCAGTCCCAGCCGTGTGATGCTGGGCGAGTCACCGCATACCTCTGGGCTGCACTTCTCTGCCTGTAGAGAGAGAGATGCCCCAGTGCCTGCCTCCCTTTGTGCGGCCCTGAACAAATGCTCCGTGGAGACATAGCTGCTGTTATTATTGCTGCCATTATCCAGGGACACCATCTGTATTCAGCCCTGGGGCTGGCAGAACGTGGTTCTCTCCCCCACTGCCCCTCTGCTGATGCTGATGGAAGCCTGCAGGGGTGTGGGGAGCCTGCCCTGGCCCAGGTCCTCTCCTCACCCGTGTCAGGAAAGAGACCCTGTCTGCACCTGTCCCCAGCCCCAGCCCAGCTGCTATTCTTAGTCCCTCCCCATTTTCCTCATCTCCAGGCATTTTCCCTCCTAAACTTGCTCTGCGTTTCCATAGGAACCAGGGGAGGGTGGAGATGGGGAGAGGGTCCTCCCCCACGGAAGGGAACTTCATGTGGGGCTCTTTGGGAGCGGCTGGCAGTGCCTGGTGGAACTTCCCCCACTGCGCCGCTCCCCTCCTCCCCAGACCCCTCCTTGAACAGCCTGTTCCTCCGACCGTTATTTTTAATGCATTTATCCTGCCGCTTAATTTATCCCGCATTGTGATCAGATTTAGCTGAGAGCGCTCCGCAGCCCGGCCTGCCTGCATATTCATGAGCCGGTTCATTCATGCCGCCCCCAGAATGCTGGGCAGTAGTGGGCAGCGTGCTGCCTAGTCCCCGGGTCCCACCTGCCACAAGGGCAACCGGGGGTCAGAGGTCAAGGGCGCAGGCTGCAGCCAGAGAGTGGTGTAGGGTACAGCACCTGTGGGTAGGGGGTGGGGGGTGTCCCTGGGTGGAGGCTCTGGAGCCAAACTGTGCTAACATCTTTCTCTGCCATTGCTGATAAAATAACTTCACCTCTCAGTTTACTCATCTGCAAAAGGGGACAATAATGATCCCTGCTCTGGGTCACTAGAAGATCGAATAAGAGAATACACATAAATGATCACAGTGGGTATTCAGTGTAGTTCCCTGTTGTCATTGGCGTTCCTGCTGAGCAGTGACTCATCGTGGCTCTGGGTCCTGGAGAAGCGGGGTGGTGGGCTGGTGCACGGGTCTGCCCTGGCGATGAAGCTGTGGGCTGTTTCTGTCCAGCCTTTGCTGACTGCTGATACGAGCTCCTCCCCTCAAGTGAGGGTCAGGAGGGCAGTTCCCAAAAGGCAGGTGGGGCCAGAGGATGCAGTCCGGTCTCTTAGGAAGGGCCCCTGGGATCGTCCAGGGTATGTAGCCCCCACCAGGGGCCAGCGGGGAGGCTGGGGCTCTGGAAGGAGGCAGGGCTCTAGACTCCAGGTTCTTCTGGCCCTCGGGAATTTCTAGGTCGGTTATTCCCTTCAGTTATTCGTTGTGTTATTTTACTGTTGCCAAGCCCGT